TACGCCTCCTACACCAATACTGAAGAAATCTTCTAGTTTGTACGGTTATTATTTTTTTTTTCCTCATGAAGAAGTAACATCACTTTGACAGTATTTTTTCTGACAAAGCGTTCCATTTCATGAACAAAACAACATAACTAAAACCTGTGTAATAGATCCTACGGCTTCCCCATCTTTTGATACCCTAAACCACTTCCTGGTTCCTCGATCCCTCGAATATAAAAACTTAACCAGAGCATACCCAACTGTAATGTTAAGGTCACACCCGACCGTCACCCCACATCATACAACCAACGGATCATTGAAAACAAAGCGCACCACACACATATATGTATGATGAATAAAAGACTCATCTACCCACTTGTACAATATACGCTACAACTTTACTATCATTAACAGACAACGATATGCGTGAAATGATGATTATTTTAAATCGGTTTTATTACTGCAGTAGACGCTCTCAATCTCTACCTCTATGCCATGAGTACTTGGCGCTCCTGTTACTATCATCGGTCGAAATACCTTGCTGTCGGAGCCAAAAAAAAAATTCGCTTCCGTATAGACGTTGACATTTACGGATGATCACGTTCTTAAAATTTAGTACTCGCATTCTTCTACGATCAGAATCCGCCATAAATGACGTAATTATGAATTTCGCAGATTGTGTTAATTAATTATTCCCTCGATACGAAGATTATTCTTAAAACTCACATAGAGCTGGTGCTTTAGGTTACAGGTCAAGTTGTGAGCTAAATATACACGTATGTAGCCCTACTGATGTAACAAACCTTGGATCAAAATGACTGTTTTGTCGAAACTGAAAGAATTCCTCTCCCATCGCCGGTACACAGGCACGTATGAGGCCTTCTTCGTCAAAAACTGTTAAATTCGTATAACTATGCAATCTTTAATATCTAATACATATATCTCCTTACTTTTCGACTTAATTTGCTAACACGATCACCGACGGACACATACCCAGCATTCACAGTGCTTAACACGCATGCATACGGATATCTTTTTTGTACGATAAAATTCCTAACATGCTAGCTAAAAACTTCCATGCACACCTTACACTCAGATAGATGGCTCGCTAGGGATAATACCACGCTATATAATTTGCCTAACAATTCCTAAATAATCCGCTATGTCCTTCATATATTGTCTCCCGATACGGCATGTTGCATGTTCTGCTTGTATGGTAAGAATACACTCAGTAATGTGTTTCTTCTAAGAACCGTTTTTCGCGTAAAGAAACGTGCACGTAAAGTCTGCCCGCTGGTTGGCCTGCCTATACTTATCGGGAGTAGATCTCTTCACGAGAATGTATGGACAATCCCTTCTGAATAACTCATGATCTTATAAGAACTATGTACCGCGGTACGTATAAGTCCTTTCATTCTTGCCAATAAAACCGCACATGTTGGTTTGTCATATGTATATGCTTAATTTCTACTTGATGCAACAAGCGCCTTGTGAAAAGATTTGTTAGGATAGAAGATCGACCTTGCTTTTTCGTATTAACTTCATATATATATTTTTTTGCTCAAAGGGTTAGTACATGCAATATGCCTTTGTCTATAAAGATAAACACATCAGGCCTTGAGTGAAGTATAACCTCCAGTACACATCGAAAATTCACAATGTTAGAATGCACAAATTTCTCTACATATCTCAAGCAATGGTACACACGAGTCGTAATGCCCAGCATACAAACATGAAGGGTGGGGCTACGCAAAACAAGATTGGCAAAACTCGGCGGTATGATTTCGACTTAACCACACCTGTAAAAAGCTATATCCCACTACCCGTCTTAGAAAAAGATCCAAGTCCTTATAGCACGTTCAAATAAAGGTTGTTCTTGATACAACTCCTTCCCTCTTCTGCACACACCTACCGAACAAGTGATAGGACTGAACGATCCAGTGCACTAGTACCCCTGAAAAGGGCAAATAAGCACGAAATTACCACTCGCAAGGCGAACGGACAACCTTACGTACATACCCCACACCCACGAAGGGTCTGAAAACCATCCCTTCCTCGAAAAAAGTTTTTCGCTAACAGCGCGCATGTTGCGCCTCAAGTGGACTACGAAAATACGCATACACAAAACCAATCACCTCGTAAGGATAGTCATCGACCTGAGAAAACATATGCTTGTGATTATTAGGCCGGTTCAGCTCTCAAACGCCCGATACACGAACGCTAATTGACGAAGAGATCGCTCCATTAGTTCCGACACAGGATTCACGAAACCACATACCTGAAGGCGCTATATGACACCCTACTGAAGTACCTACTGGTAACCGTCATACTCCTTTACCTCCCCCCACAACCCCGGGCGTGATAAGGGATCTTCTACTGCCACACCCCACCCGGTCGTCGAAACGATAAGACCTTCATGTTCAGCTGCAAGTGCAGTCACCAATGCCCTTAGAATGCACAGCAGGATATCCTTGCCTTCCTCTGGCTCCTCTATGGGAATCACTTCGCCAAAAAAGTGGCTAGTCTGATAGCCAGGGCTTTTGCCAAAATCTTGTATGCTACATTGAGTAACGATATAGGGCGATAGTTTTTTACCTCTCTCTTATCCCCCTTCTTATAGAGCAAAGAAATAACCCCCTTAAGCCATGCTTTTGGTAACGAACCGGACCTGAGAGTTTGGTTAAATATCTGAGTTAGAAATGGACCCAACGAGTCCCAGCATACCAGGTACAATTCCAATGGGAGCCCATCCAAACCCGGGCATTTCCCTCTTGCCATTCGTTTTACCGCCATAAACAGTTCCTGTTGGGAGAAGGGGGCATCTAACAAATCTCTTTCTTGAGGGAGTAACCTCCCCTGAATTCTTTCCCAAAAATCTTGAAGCCACCGACATGTCCGTATCCACAGTATCCCACCCCCTCCGGGAAGAAACTATGTCTTATAAGTATGCCATCGCGTAGGAGCATAATGTTGAGGCGTCTTTTTTTGTGGGAACATCTAACAGAAACGGATGAACCGATTCCCGAATCACTGGCTTTGCTTGCTTTAAAATAATCGATCTAAAAGTAATCTTGGTCATTCGGTCAAACCCCACCAGTCCCCTTAGTTTCAACCACTGAAGTCATTGTTCCTGTTTACTTGCCTCCAGACCTTCTAGTTGTAACAAAAGTGATTTCCTCTTCTCAGACCAATAATAATATGAGAAGGGATCCCCCCCCATTTTCTTTTCCGCTTCAGCTATCTGTACCCGCAGTGTATGTTCTTTCCAAGAGCGATTAGCTGCACACAGCCGGGAGAAAGTGTTCAAGGCAGAGATAAGTATTCCCAATCCTACTTCAGCCCACTTCTCTTCCTCTTCAAAGAGGTCTTGAGCTTTCATCCACGCCTTTATCTGATTGTCTACCCACTCTGGAATCCCTTTTATTTTTAGCAAATTCACATTCAATTTAAAAGGGGGACGGCTGGTGTCAAACTGATCCTTCCCTACGACATCCATGTAGACTGGATAATGGTCCGACATTGTGTCAATTCCATTCTCACACAGCATACATCTGTCCCATAGAACTCCCCGGGCCAAGAGGAAATCTAACCTTCTTCTAGGGATGGGGGATGTTGGGGTTGGTCTCAGACCATGCCAAGTAAAGCCATTTTCCTCAGGATTCAAGATCCTATACACGTCCACCAAGTTCTGTGAGTCCATCAATGCTGACAACAACAAAGCATCTTGCCTAAGTGCTGACGGGTTTGGGGAATCCAACCCTGGGTTCAGTGTCGTATTCCAGTCCCCTGCTATGACAAGATTCTCTACATCCAGGATCCAAGATGGGATAGCAGCTAAAAATTCCAACCTCTCCTTGTAGCAAACTGGGGCATATACCGACATAATTGCCAGTCCTCCTCCCCCACCGCCACTTTCACCCAAACACATCTACCCCTAGGATCCGCAAAAAAGTCAATCACGTCAATCTCCAGGTCCTTATTAATCAGGATGGCATCCCCTCCCCGAGACTCTTCCGCAGGGGCCCAAAACTGGGGGCCTTTCCACCATGAAGCAAATTCCTCGATTTTCTCTACATCAAGTTTCGTTTCTTGTAAGCATGTAAAATGAGAGTTTTGCGAATGGATGCAACTAGTTAATCTCATTATTTTCTCAGCCTCCCCCAGTCCTCTGACATTATAACAAGAAATCCGGAATTTATTCGGCAGGACCATTAAGCTGGTCGTTGCCGCTATGAAGTTGGATGAAGATTACTGTCGGGTCCTCTAAACCCTGTGTCCCTTCTGTCATATCTTCTGGTGTGGCCAGGGGGACGACCTGAGGACTCAATTGCTTTAAAAAAAAATTTGTTCCAATCTTGCCTTCGGCACCCGACTCTCTCAGCCATTCTGCGATATGCTGGGCTGAAAGGTGAGAACCCAGGCTTATCGTCGAAATGTTTGAGGACCCTGGTTCAACAAGAGATGACAAGGGGAACCAGTGAACCTTGGACTACGCCCATTGATCCCTTGTGCCCTCCATCGTGAGTAGATTTAAGAAAGCCAAGTGAAGGACTATTTTCCCCTTTTCCCTCAAATCCACCACATGTCTTCCTTTTTTCGGTTCTGGTAGGCAACAGACTGAGCCCATGCCCTCCAGAATTGTATTATGTGTCACCTCTACCACCATTTCATCTGACGGCTGAGTATGAACTCTAATAAAAGCAAAGTTCAGCGATTCGTCCTCCGCCATCTGAGTCAACATCTTTGGGCCTTGCTGCGAGTTAACACAGATAAGAGGAACCAGTAACTCGACTGATTTCTTGGCTTCTTTGTCTCTCCTTGTTAAAGTAGTCATTGGGGCAGCACAAGACAAATCCCACTGTAGGACTTCTTTTTCTTTCTCCATCTGACGTTTTTTCTTTGTGTTGTCTACTAGATAGGCCAGAATCGGAGTGGCATCCCGATACGACTTTCGGAGGACAGATCCGCTGTTATTTAGCTTCCCCTTCTTGGCCGAAGGATTTTCCGGGTTTGACCCTCCCGTATGTCTTTTACTGTTCTCCCCTTCTCAACCTGCCTGTCGTTTACCATTGTTCAGCAAGGCTTTCTTCTCTTTCCTTAATACCTGCTTTTCCCTTGTTGTTCTTGCTTTAAACAATATCTCGGCCGCTTCCACCACCTCCATATCATCTATCTTTATATCCTGCTTGGGATCCTCATCGTGAACCTCATTGTGATCCGTCCCTATATTAGGGATGGGTTCTGCTGATGGCGGCTCTGATAGCGGCTCTTGAGTTACCCCTGGAACTTCTCCCTTCTCCGGAAACCCCATCTTAGCCTCCGCTATCTTTTTAACACAGTCCTCCAAAATTTTTGCTGCGTCTTTGCTCAAGGTAGTAACCAGAGGGCTCTTCAGAAATTTTCCCCTCTTCTCGTTTCCCTCCTCTGAGTTCTGTTTCAGCACATCCTCCTTGTCTCCTTCTTCCTTCTCTGTCCCCTCTGTCTGACTCCTGTCGACCTCCTTCTTTTGGTCATTCAGCCCTGGGAGCCCCTCCTCTTCCTTGTCTCCTTCTACCTTCTCTGTCCCCTCTGTCTGACTCCTGCCGACCTCCTTCTTTTGGTCATCCAGCCTTGGGAGCCCCTCCTCTTCCTTCTCCCCCCCCTTCTTAGCTTTCCCCGCCGCCTTCCATTTTTGGGTCGGATGACCCTTCTCTGTTCGGCTCTTTATCCTCTTTCCCTTCCCCTTCAGTCCCCTTAAGCGACTTGTCCCTGAGTTGTTTCCCTTCGGCTCGTCAGACGAGGTCGGCTTCACAGACCTTTCCCCCTCTTTATCCTTCGTCTTCCTCTGCTCTATATCCTTATCCTCCGAATGATCCGCTTTCTCTTTACTCTTCATTAGGGCTTCCTTGTAGCCTTGCTTTTGCTTCAGATTCGGATCGACAGATTTACCCTTCTTTATTGCAAAAGGACAGATCGGGTCATTTTCTTCATGAAAAAAATGCTTGCAAGCCTTGCACCACTGGAAGTCCGCGCATGCGACGTCCAGTTCCACATAACCATACTCCTCCATGTCAATTATCAACGTCCTTTTGTATGACACCCGTGCGGATGGAACCAGATCAAATCTGACATTCCACAGGTCAGGTGAGATGGGCTCAAATCTGACATTCCATAGGTCAGGTGAGATGGGGTCCGCGTACGCTGGAGCGGCCCGTAGAACTTTACCGTATGCTTTCCCTACGGCACCTCTCAAATGAGGGAGCACTGAGACAGGGACTTTAATCACCTGTATCAAAAACAATTTGAATTTCAGAGCCTCGTTCCATTCATACAACTCCGGCTCATTCATCCACTGTTTGAACGTCAACGTATATTTTTTGCTCTCCAATCCGATGACGTCTTGCTTTTTCCTTAACATTCATAGGGCTATTTCCTTAGCACTCGCCACATAGGTAACTAAATTTTTACCTTCATTTCGAAAAATCCCTCTCTTAGGAGGAACATTTACCTCCCCTGCCCTTGCGTAGCCCTCTTCATATATCCTTACCAGTCTGTTTTTCACTTTGACCGGTAAGGATGTAGAGTCATCCCCAAAATGAATTTTCACCGAGTGTTCCCTCAGCCATTCCGCTTGGACTTCAAAGAAACTTTTATTGACTAAGACTCGAACGTATCCTTCTCCGGATTCCACCACTTCAGGGGCGAAGTCCTCAGGAAGGATACCGTTCTGGTAACAATCGCTCAAAATTTGCTTCATTTGACTTTTATCTTCGTCTGAATAAAGCCCACCCTGCGGTTGGATAGACGTCGACATCGTGCAATCTGTCTGAGGAAACCTCCTTTTACAACTATTGACGCCGCAAAGAAAGGAAACCTCAAAAATCCTAGGCAAACAGCTCACCAAGCCTAAGAACACCACTACTCCCCACACTCGTCTAGAACGTTCGCTCTGACCGCCTCCCCTGGCTACGAGCATCGACACCAGCCAAGTTATCAACAGCACGAACAGATCCAGATCCATGATGGGATAATTAACAAACTCAAAAAAGCATCCGATGTCTTAATTCATCTTCCTAGGTTGCTATACAGAAAAATTGTGGGATTAGGCCAAGCTCACCCAAGACGGGAAAACCCCATGGCTCCCTCTCACCCGAAACCATCTTCTCTTTCCACCTTGAATCGCTGTCCTCCGAAGCCATAATCAAGTGTGGCATCAGCTATATTACCTTGCTCGAGTGCTTTACCGGCGGAATCGTAGTAATCCAAACCCTAATCCCCCGGTAGCGCTAATTTTCCGAAGGGAATTAACGCTCGTCGAGATTAGCGCCGAAAGCGCTAAAAACGCCGCCCCCCGTCGTAAGCGATCACATTCACGATTTTCCTCGCTTTGGCACACACAACAATGGCGAACTGGTGACTGAAACGCATCATTTTCAAACTGAAACCGTGACAACGCCCTAGTTCTTCCCTTTTTTTTCTTTTTTTCTTTTTTTTTGAACAGGAGACAATTATCTCAAACAGTCCGTCTATTTATTTTAAAATTTAAATATAGTACAACTCTCTTTTGTTTTGCTGAAATAAAAACCATGGGCCAAGGAGGAGTCGTAGAATTCGAAAAAATGATGATCCTTTTTTCGATGTTGTTCTTTTTCTATGTTGACTCCTTAATCCCTGAATCAGTCTCAATTTATATAAAGCGCGCCAAGTGTCGAATTTAATCAAACTTTCAAAGCGCGCTGACAGCAGAAACGGCCGAATCAGTCTCAATTTATTAAATGCCCGCCAAGTCTCCAAGTTTTTTTCAAACCGCGCCAAAGCACAAACGCCACGTGTCAAGAAGCCCCTACAATTTAAAAAAAAAAAAAAAAAAAAAAGAGAAGTGCACCAACAAAAAACACAACCTTACAAAAAAAAAAAAAAAAAAGAGAAGTGCACCAACAAAAAACACAACCTTACAAAAAAAAAAAAAAAAAAAAAAAAAAAAGCTTCTAATTATGTGGGGAAGATTTTTAGATCGGTACCTGGCCAGTCGAGGATGACACTGATTGATAGCGAGTGGTGCAGCTCCACCTCACAGAGTAGGTTTGGAGACCATGCAGCCCCTGCATATGATTCCTAGTTGACATATTTATTCTGCCTTGGGCACTGGGCCCTCAATTGTAAATTAAGGGAAAAAAAAAAAAAAAAAAAAAAAAAGAAGATAGAGAGTGGTGCACCTAGGCCCAAATTGTGGAACGGTCCAAAAATGGTAAAAAAACTTCTTTTTTTTTTTTTTTTTTTTTTTTTTTAATCCCCCCCCGCTTTTTTTTTTTTTTTTTTTTTTTTTTTAATGCCTGCCCGCGCTTCATTGTTTTGTTTTTTTTTTGTCTTTTTTTGCCTTTTTTGCGCCTCTGAGCACTTGGAAGCCTCCAGCTTTGACCGTAATCTTTTATTGAAAAAGATATGTATTTGTTTTATCTGATATTTAATCGTTTGCTTTGCGTACTTTTTTGTAATTGACAGGAAAACGAATTCTCACTTAAACACGTGTCGGTGGGACAGTAAGAGGGCGCTTTTATGGGAAAAATCAGAGAAAGGGGAAAAAGGAAAGATATGGGTGACACTACCTCAAGTCTACTGGGCTGCCTGGGCATACTCACACAGGGACCTATAATCCCAAAATCCCAAAAAAAAGAGGAAATGGCCGGTCACACGGATCTACCAAATTCGCAAATGTACTACTCCCGTGCCCATTTGTCAGCGGCCTGGGAAGCCGGGGGGCAATGGATTTTGCCGTCACCTCTGGAGGTGACCGCAAATGCCCTTCTTTTGTTTTTGCATTTTCTTCAACAAATTGGCAAAAATTCGTTCACAAAAGTTCTTGCACAATTTGTAGATGGCGCCGTGTGACCAGCCAAGTACCAAATCCCCATTTCTCCAGACGGCCGCGACCTTGTCCCATCTGAAAAGGTACAGCAGTGTGACGTACACCATGCCCAAAAGCTCACCGACTTAAGGCTCCTGACGATCCTGGTACTAGTAGGGCCATTCGCCATCTCCGTGCTTAATGTTTATCTTTAAACAGTCGCATCCGGGACATGTGTCCTCGCGTAGGTTGTCTTCTTCTACTCTCTCCTCCTCCTTTTTCCTCCTCCTCATCCCCTTTTCTTCTTCCACTTCCCCATGGCATTGCCTGTGTTTGAGTGGCTGATGCATGTGGTATACGTACGTCATTTAGTTTATCTATGCGAGGTATTAGCTCATAGCTATACTCACCTTCCCAAATCCGCATATTATTTTGCGGATTTGGGGTCGTCGTGTGAGTATGCCCTACGACTGGCTTACCTTTTTTCTTTTTTCTTTTTTCTTTTTTCTTTTTTCTTTCTTTTTCCTTTTTATTATTTTCAAAGAATATTTTGCTACAGCCTACGGGGCTCCCTGAAACCGCTACAGGGGGGATGGTATGAGCGCCCTCTTATATAGGTGGGCCCGACCAGAATTTTGCAGGTTCCCATCGTGCCGCTGTAAAACTCTACCGCTGGGGCAGTGCTCAATTTTTTTTTCCTTCTTGTTTTTCTTTTATTTATTTATTTATTGTTTTTGAGAAGTGGTTGAACTTATTGCTGATTAGCAGTTATTACTAAATAATTAGTCAACAAAGAGACTCGCTCTTTCGACGGGGGGGTGTTTGTGTGTGTCCGCGGGTGTGCGTGTGTACTTGTCTGGGGGTGCACGTGCATATCCGTGCATGTGTGTGTGTGTGTGTGTGTGTGTGTGTGTGTGTGTG